GGTGATGCATTTATGGCTCACAGAGATTCAGAGGGCTACTGCCTAAGACTTGCTCACCCAGACTGCTCTCCAGGTATAGTGCTCTTCGAGGGCTGGTAGTCAATGAAAAGCAAGAGCTTGCTTGGCAAACCAACCTAAGACAGGCACAGTCAGTTTATAAGGCTGAGCCCTCCTGAGGTGGGGACAAGACCAGGGCAAAGCACCCTGGCTTGCACCAAGTGCACAAAAAACCAAATAAATAAAAGGGTGGATTTGTGGGGGGGATATTTGCCCAGGCATAGAGGGCCTGGGGGTTAACAGGCCCTTGCTGGCCTAAGCTAGCTATCTGGGTATGGGGTATGGTAACTCCCCCCAAATGAGCCAACCTTGGTCTGCCAAAGAGTCCCAGCAACAGCTGCTGTGTCATAAAACAAGATGACCTGAACCAGTCTCCAGCTGCCACAAGAGACCTTGATGCCAGTGCTGCTGCTTCCCCTCCCTTGGGCAGGTGGGGGCTTTCCCCTTCCGAAAATAAAATGAGCTTGCTACAACCAGCTAGACCCCAGGAGTCTGTTTGGCTGACTCTGGACCTACTCACCCCTTCCCCAAGGGGAAGTTCAGTGGGACAAGCATCAAAGCAGCAGATGCTCTCTCATTTGGGGCGTAGATGTTCTGAATTGAGACATTATCTTGGTAGATTTTTTCATTTGATGAGTATTAAATGTCCTTTCCATCTCTTTTGATTAATTGTGGTTTGAAGTCTTTTGTTAGATAGTAGGATAGCTATACCAGCTTGCTTGTTAGGTCCATTTGATTGTAAAATCTTTTTCCAACACTGTACTCTGAGGTAACATCTGTCTTTGATGTTGAGGTGTGTTTCTTGTAGGCAGCAGAAGGATGGATCCTGCTTTCATATCCATCCTGTTAGCCAGTGTTGTGTTGAATTGAGTTCACTGATAATGAGGGATATTAGTGACCAGTTATTGTTAACTCATGTTATTTTTGTTGTTGGTGGTGATTGTAGTGTGTGTGTGCCTGCGTGCCTGCCTGCATGCGCGTGCATGTGTGTGAGATAGATAGATAGAGAGAGAGAGAGAGAGAGAGAGAGAGAGAGAGAGAGAGAGAGAGAGAGAGAGAGAGAGAGAGAGATTCCGTTCTTTTGGATTTGCTGGTGTGAGATTATCTATTGTCTGTGATTTCATAGGTGCAGCTAACTTCCTTGGGTCGGAGTTTTCCTTCTAGTATTTTCTGCAGGGCTGGATTTTTGAATAGACATTGTTTAAATTTGACTTTATCATGAAATATTTTGTTTTCTCCATCTATGGTGATTGAAAGTTTTGCTGGGTGTAGTAGTCTGGGCTGGCATTTTAGTCTCCATTCAAAAGTCAGTTATAATTCTGATAGGTCTGCCATTTTATATCACTTGGCCTTTTTCCTTTGTAGCTTTTAATATTCTTTTGATTCTGTATGCTTAATATTTTGATTATTATGTGGCAAGGGGACATTATTGGTCCAGTCTATTTGGTGCTCTGTAAGCTTCTTGTACCTTTAGTTTGGAAAAAATCATTTTCTTCTATGATCTTATTGAATATATTTTTCTGGGCTCTTGACCTGGGATTCTTCTCCTTCTTCTATTCCTATTATTCTCAGGTTTGGTCTTTTCATAGTGTCCCAGATTTCCTGGATGTTTTGTGTTAGAAATTTTTTAGATTTAACATTTTCTTTGACCAATGAATCTATTTCCTCTATCATATCTTTAACACCTGAGATTCCCTTTTTTTTAAATCTCTTTTATTCTGTTGGTAATGCTTGCATCTGCAGTTCCTGTTCAATTACTCAGATTTTGCATTTCCAAAATTCCCTCAGTTTGTGTTTTTTTTTTTCTTGGTTTTTCGAGACAGGGTTTCTCTGTATTGTTTTGGAGGCTGTCCTGGAACTCGCTCTGTAGACCAGGCTGGCCTTGAATTTACGGGATCCGCCTGCCTCTGCCTCCCGAGTGCTGGGATTAAAGGCGTGCACCACCAACGCCTGGCTGTGTGTGTTTTTTTTTTCTTAATTGCTCCTATATCCATTTTCAGATGTTGAACCATTTCCTTTACTGGTTTGTAGTCTCTTGGTTCTTAAAGGGACTCATTTATTTTCTCCAATTTTTTTTTGTCTTTCCTTCAATTTCTTTAAGGGATTTTTTTTATTTAATCCTTAAGGATCTCTATCATCTTCATAAAATTATGTTTTCTTGTGCTTCAGCTGCATTAGAATTTAAGGTCTTGTGGGTCCTGGTGGTTCCATATTGCCCTTTCTGTTATTGATTTTTTTTATTACACTGGCATTTAGTCATCCAAATTTGGGGTGGTTACAGGTCTAGGTGTTGATTCCTGCACTTGTCTTTGTTGGGTGGATGCTTTGTTTCTTGGTTTGTTTCCTCTCTTGTCTTCTGGCCTTGGGTCCCTAGATCTGGCATGGCCTCTGGTAAAGCCTAAGTCTTGATCCAAAGTTGTAGGTGGGAATATAGAGCTCAGAGTATGGGGTGCAGTCTGGAGTTGTCTGGTGGGCTTTCAGGAGTGTTAGCAGGTGGTAGATGGGATTGACTGGGTGAAAGAGGCAATCTTTATAGAAGTTGTCTATAATCCTTCTAAAAAGAGTCTAGAGAAAACTGCCTTCTTGGTCAGTGATGAACAGAAGGGAAAATCCATTCTATTCTGACTGTATTTTCTTGCAGTAATCCTTTCTGACCGGGAGCAGTTTCTCTATTCTTTTCACAACCCAGAGTACTAACCTCTGTATGATAACGGCCTCTCTACTCTTTTTTCAGAGAATGATGGGTTGGTGGGGCATGTTCTTCTGCATATGTTTCTCTTATTGGTTGATGAATAAAACACGGATTGTCCAGTAGAGGCAGGAAGACAGGCGGGACTAGAAGACGAGGAGAATGCTGGTGAGAGAGGAGAGACCATATAGAGACTAGGAAGATAGGAAGTGCCAGGCATTCTCTGGTGAGATAAAGCCAAGCAGAAATACATAGATTAGTAGTTATGGGTTGATAATTAAGAGAGCCACCCAGTAAGAAGCCCTAGCCATCGACCAAAAGTTTAATAATTAATATAGCATCTGTGTGTTTATTTGGGGCTATTTGGATGTGGGACCAGGTTGGAAAGAAACTCCAGCAACAGTGGGTTTTGAGTTTTTACTGGTTGTTGCTTATTCAATAACTACTTACAGCCGGGCGTTGGTGGCACACACCGTTAATCCCAGTACTCAGGAGGCAGAGGCAGGCGGATCTCTGTGAGTTCCAGGCCAGCCTGGTCTACAGAGCGAGTTCCAGGGCAGCCTCCAAAACAATACAGAGAAACCCTGCCTTGAAACTCCCCCCCCCCAGAAAAGGATGCACTTGAGTCAGAACAACCTTGTGTCTCAAAGGATCAGACACATGAAAGTATCATTCAGAGAGGCACTAACAAACAGGAGGTAATTTTTCCAGATGCCACCATAACAATATACTTTAGAATCCAGTAAATAACAAAACCAAGTGATTATAGGTACATAAATGTAGGGAAAAAAATCTATGTAAGTTTATGCTCCTGAAAAAAAATTATTCCCTTGCTGCTTTAAGATTATCATGGGGCTAGAGATTACTCATCAGTTAAAGCACTTAAACTTTCTTTGAAAGGACACATGTTGAGTCTGCATCACACACATGGTGACTCGTGTGGAGTCTGACTCCAGTTCCAGGGGATCTGGTGCTCTCTTGTGGTCCACTCTCACACAGAAAATGCATTTACATACTTACAGATGCCACTTACTGCTGTTCACATTTACATATTGGCTTGGGGTTTATCGTGGTTTATATACTTCTTTATATAGCTTTTCCAACTTTGCCAATTGTTCATGTGCTAGGGACAGTGCCTGGTACTTGGGCCTAACGTGCCAACAAAAACAAGGTTCCAGTCAACAGTCTTGGCTTCCTGCTTACACTGAATGGTACTAACTTTGCACCTAGTATAGCATCTGTTAGACCACACTCCTTGACTATGTTAATGTTATTGTACTATTCAAAGGACAATTTCAACTTTTATTTATATTTTGACCAGGATTGCAATATCCACATCTATATTTAGAAGCAGCAGTCTCTCCACACAAATTACTTATCCACAACAAGTTAGACCTTTTAGAACTCTGGTGGATCCCCAATTTACTCAAGTGATCAAAGTTAATTTCTTCAGTAATGTGCTATCTGACACCTAAATGTTTCTGGATGTTGCCACAGGATAGACAATCTGCAATGAAAATGCTTCATCTGAACCTAACTTCTCTTGGATAGAAAATACAATGGCTAAGGGCCAGGAATGTAGCTTAGTTACTGAGCATATTTCTACCACCCACAAAGTCCCTGGGTTTAATTACAACTGAAAATATAATGACAGAGCAAAGCCTAATCTCTATGTATATTGTATTCTCCTTAGGATATATATATATATGTAAAAAGGGCAGTTTGAAGGTCAGTGACAAATTTCTCAATGCTGTAAAATTCTGGATCACTTCCTTAAGTATAACCAGGGCTCTGTGTTAGGGATGACATTCCAAATTGTCTGATGTAGTAAGAGATGAAAAGTCAAGTCTACAATTTTTTGAATAAAGGGTCTCTATACAGCCAAAGTTGGACTCGAAGTCACTATGTAGCTAGATTTGCCTCCAACTCTTTTTTTTTTTTTTTTTGAGACAGGGTTTCTCTGTAGCTTTGGAGGCTGTCCTGGAACTCACTTTGTAGACCAGGCTGGCCTCGAACTCACAGAGACTCTGCCTCCTGAGTGCTGGGATTAAAGGCGTGCGCCACCAACGCCCGGCCTTGCCTCCAACTCTTGACCTTTCTGCCATGGCTTTCCAATTAATGGGTTCCAGGTATGTACCACCTCATCCAACTCTAAATGTATTCTTAACAGTACAGCCCCAAATACCCATATACACATAAGAGGATGGATATAGGAAGGTTAACAATTTTGAATCTAGGAGAGGATACAAAAGTGTGTTGTTGACTATTTGGCTGTTTTTATTAATTTTTTTTTATGGGGAGCCCACCAGGAAAGCCCACTCAGACACAGTTTATAGCTAACTGAGTCTATTTCAGTTGACTGGGACTACTAGTGTAGTTCCAAGAATTTAATGCAAAAACCACATCCTGTTTTCCTGCTCAGCAGTTGAATGGGGAGCTCTTGCCCAATCAGGCAGATTAACAGAAGCCAAGATAAACATTTACATGGAGGGGGACATTTGTACAAGCAGGTAGTTTAATGCAAGTCAAGATAAATTAGCAGGCACATCTTGACCTCAGGCTCTGAGAACAGATTAGGGTAATTTTCCACAATAGTCTCCATCAAGAAGACAAATTCTTGCCTTGTCACAAATGTATAGCTTATCTTTACATCTGGGCAGAAAGCATAAATTACAGGGCATTAACATTTATGGGTTTAACCCCTTTAAAAAGTACTTATTCATGAACAGCTGTTTTGAACATCTCCACACAAATATTTAAGTAATGGATTCTCAATAAAGATCTTCTCATGTTCCTTTTCATCCACCAGATTTTATCCAGAATGACTTTAAATTTAACAGTGGATGAATGCATGATGCTTTTCTAAACTATCTGCAATACACTTGCCTTTCATATGAGTTACAGTAATGCCAATAAAATGGAGAACAATATAAAATCTACTTTACAGAACATGGGAATGAGCCAAATATTCTTTCCAGAATTTTATTATTTATTATGACCCTTTTCCCCACAACTTTGGCTGGTACTGTGCTCACCATTAACAAATTATGTATAAAGAAAGTAAACACTCAGTCTAATAAGACAGGAGCCAGGGAACATTGGTGGTGACAAGAAAGGTATCTCAGATAAACCTGGTTCCAATAACAACTCTCCCTAAGCTGACTGTCCCAGGTGAGCAGTGTTTGAGGAATTATGTTTATACAATTAAGATGAGAGTAAATCAAGAACATGATAGCCACTCCATTACTTCTGACATTCACACACATTCTCAACAGAGTATCACCTATAAAAAACAAACCTCCCACATTCTCATTTGCAAAAAGATCCTTGATATCAAGGATCTTGACATTTAAATCTAGGGCAAATTAAAGTTCTTTCCATGTACTCTTCAGTTACAGTCTTGCCAGTATGAGTACTCTGATGTTCAGAAAAACTTCCAAAGAATTGTTTATATTCTTTACATGCATAGGACTCCTGATTATGTATTTTCTGATGTAGTATAAGCTTGCCATTTATAATAAAGGCTTTCCCATTCTTTATTTCATGAGGTTTCAGATCTATATGGACTCTGATGAGGTTTTAGAGCTGAACTAATTCTACAAATGCTTCCACATTTCTTGATGCATTCACAGGGTTTCACATCAGCATGGATTCCTTTATGTTGAAGGCCTGAGCTCCAACTGAAATCCACTTTACAGTGCTAGGGTTTCACACCAGTATGATTTCTCCACTGTGCTATGAAGACGGAACTAAATATAGATACTTCCCCATATTACTTACATTAGTATGGTTTTTTCACCAGCATGAATTCTCTGATATACAACTAGCTTAGAATTAATGCTAAAGCCTTTCCGCATTCTTTACCATAAGGCTTTTACTAACATGAACGTAAGCATGCCAAACCAAGCTTGATTTTCAACTAAAGGCCTTTTCACATTTTTAACATTGGTAAGGTTCCTCACCAGTGTGAATTCTCTGATGTGCTTTAAGGTATTCTTCAGGGTAAAGTACTCCCCACATTCTTTCATTCGCAAGGATTCTTGCCAGTATGAATACTAAGATGGCCAAGAAATTGGTAATGATATCGAAAGGTTTCCCCACATTCCTTACATTGAAAGGGCTTCTCACCAGTGTGGATCCTCTCATGAATTCGAAGTCCTCTACCACGAACAAAGCCCTTTCCACACTGCTTGCACTGATAGGGTTTCACATCGGTATGAATTCTCTGATGTTGAGTAAGTTCAGATTGAATTCGGAAGGACTTCCCACATTCCTTACACAGAAAGGGCTTCTCACCGGTATGGGTTTTCTCATGAATTCTAAGGCCTGTACCACGAACAAAGCCTTTCCCACATACCTTGCACTGATAGGGTTTGATATCAGTATGAATTTTTTGATGCTGAGTAAGTTGGTAATGAAGTCTGAAGGCTGAGCCACACTGCTCACATTCAAATGATTTCTTTCCGGTATGAATGTTCTGGTGCCGAGTGAGCTGTGCCAGAACAGTGAAGGCCTTCCCACATTCCTTACACTGAAAGGGTCTCTCGCCAGAATGAATTTTCTGATGTTGCGTGAGGTTTGAGCGCCGATTAAAGGTTTTCCCACACTCATTACATTCAAATGGTTTCACACCAACATGAATATTCCTATGTTGAACAAGGGTGGAGACTCGCTTGAAGGACTTCCCACACTCCTTGCATTCAAACAGTTTTTCACTTGAATGAATTATTTTATGGCTCTTTAGATGGGCACGAAGACGAAAGGCCTCTCCACACTCTGTACATTCAAAAGATCTCACGCCACTATGAAATCTCTGGTGGCGAATGAGATGTATATTAAGTCTAAAGGCTTTCCCACATTCCTTACAACCGAAGGGTTTCTTTCCAGAGTGAATACTCTGATGCTCAGTAAAATTTGAACGTCGACGGAAGTTTTTCCCACATTCATTGCAGTGATATGGTCTTTCATCAGTATGGATTCGTTGGTGTTGAGTAAGGAGAGACTGAAGTCTGAAAGCTGACCCACAGAGTTTACACTTGAAAGGTTTCACATTAGTGTGGATACTCTGATGCACAGTAAAATTTGAACGTCGACGAAAGTATTTGCCACATTCCTTGCACTGATAGGGTTTCTCATCAGTATGAATGCTCTGATGTTCGGTAAGGTGGTACTTACGTCTGAAGGCTGACCCACACAGCTTACACTTGAAAGGTTTCTCAACAGTGTGAGTTTTCTTATGCTCAGAAAGGAATACCTGAAGCCTAAAAGCCTTCTCACATACATTACACTCAAAGGTTTTCTCACCTGCATGAACATTCTGATGTTGCACAAAGTATGAGCCACTATTGAGTATCTTGCCACACTGCTTACATTGAAAGGATTTCTCTCCAGTATCAATGTTCCGGGTCCGAGTGATGAGCTGTGTTAGAACAGTGAAGGCCTTCCCACATTCCTTACACTGAAAGGGTTTCTCACCAGAATGAATTTTCTGCTGTTCCATGAGGTCTGACTGACAATTAGAGGCTTTTCCATACTCACTACATTCATATGGTTTCACACCAGAATGAATGATCCTATGTTGAACAAGGTTGGATTCGTGTTTGAAAGACTTCCCACATTCCTTGCATTCAAAAGGTCTCTCACCACTGTGAGACTTCTGATGTCTTGTAAGTTGTTGGTGGAGTCTAAAGGCTTTCCCACATTGCTTACATTCATGGGGTTTCTCTCCAGTATGAATACTCTGATGCCGAATAAGAGTTGAACTACAATCAAAATGCTTCCCACACTCTTTACATTCATATGCTTTTTCTATACTGTGAGTCAGAGTCTGGCAGGTGTAAGTAGGCAGTTTTTCCTTGTTAGTAATATTTTGGTCATCATTTCCTTCTTGACAACTTTGTAGTTCCTTGTTTGTACTAGAGTTGGGGCCATCACTAACACTGGAGCCCTGGAGGTCAGAAGGTTTACTTACATGCTTTATGCTCTTTTTGGATAAAGTCTTATTATGATTGTCTGCAGATATTTTTTGAACCTCATAATCTGACTCCAAATCTGAAAGAAAAGGGAAAGCAAATCTATTTTATTTTCCTGTGACACAAACACAAACAAAATCCATTCAATCAACGGCCCAACTCTAAAGTATTTTCTGAGCTGACCAATAGCGAGGAGAGAGCAGAAATAACAAAAGTTTATGTGAGACAGTACATTTCAGTAGGACAGGTTGGAAATGGGAAAGCATGTCTGCTTAATGAGATTAAAACAGTCTGTACTGAAATAATCTTAGGTGTTTTATGTACACTACAGGAAATACACAAGAGTTGGTGGTTTTTGAACCAAATAACAAGAAAAATAATAAGCCACACAAATACCAAGTATCTGCCATGCATTAAAAACACTGGTCAAGGACTGGAATTGTTTAAAAGGGGAGTACAAATCTGTGGTGGTGATGTGGTCCACAATGTAATAATCCCAGTAACAGTGTCAGAGGTAACAGTGCCATGAGTTCAAAGATAGCTTGGACAACATAGGGAGACTGTCTGGGCGGGGAACAAGCTAAAAAGGAAACAGAAGAAAGGGGAGACAATACATTAGAATTTTAAAGAAAACTAAGGATCTCTGGACAAGGAACCGGTATATGTTAATTGCAGATCTTTGCCTATCCCCCATCTCCTCCAAATCTAACCCTAGTCTCATTCCTGGATCTACAGCTGACCACCTGCTGTAGACTGCCCTTCATCCCTGTAGGTGATCACTCAGATCCACACCCCCTAACTTCCTTCTCTCCATTCACTGCTTTATCCCAACCACAACGGCAACAGGGATCCCTGGAAACCCAAAGGTCACCATGGGCAGTGAATGAACAGGTGGGCTACTGCAGATCTCCACCTCTCTCTACTCCTCCAAGTCCAGTCCCCAGTCTCATCCCCAGCTCTGTAGCAGACTGCTTCCTGCAGCATCTCCTCACTCTCTGACCTGGTTCCCAGGGGACTAAGCAGATCCTGGTGGAATGACTGCTTTCCTCCCTCCTGAGGGACCCTTCACCCCCCCATTCCCCATTACTAAGTGTCAGCTCCCAATAGCTAGAAGCACATTTGACCTGGGACCCCAGTGGCCACACCTATCAGGATCCCAAAAGAATTTCCTACCAAAAACACATAGCCCCACACTCTCCTAAGAACCAGAGAGGGCAACAGAAACCAAGAAACAAAACACCCACCCACCAGATACCAGCATCTAGAATTACAATCTTCCCAAACCCAAATGCCTAGATGCCAGTGTAAAACCACAGTAACATCCACAGCAGTATGTCTGCACTAAAGTCCAAAATCCCTACTACAGCAGGACCTGGGTATTGCAACACAGCTGAAGTACAAGAAAAAGCCATTATAGAATGGGCTTTATAACCCCAGGCATTGGTGGTGCATGCCTTTAATCCCAGCACTCGGGAGGCAGGGGCGGGAGGATCTCTGTGAGTTGGAGGCCAGCCTGGTCTACAGAGCTAGTTCCAGGACAGCCTCCAAAATAATACAGGGAAACCCTGTCTCGAAAAACCAAAAAAAAAAATTATGATCCCACAGACACTGAGGCAGCATGCCCAGAGCCGGCACCACCCAACCTGTACCAAGTCTTTTGCACATAAATTCATTATGGCCTCCAGGTTAGTGTTTGTATAGATTCATGAGTGTGCAAACAAGTGTGTCTCTGTTTCATGTGCCTTTGCTTTCGTGATGTCCTTTCAGTTCCTTCTGTCCAATTCCAATGTGTTAGTTTTAGCTTATACTATTGTCCCTTAGAGGCCTGTTGATAAGGACAGACGGAACGGAGTGAACCTGGATGGAGGGGTGGGGAGGAAATGGGACGAGCAGAGGGAGGGAGGCCATAACCAGCACACATTATGTGAGGGAAAAAAATCCATTCTCAACAAAAGAAGGGAAGAAGACTAAGGAGACCCAATAATAAACACATGCAAGAAGTTGGACACTGAAAGTTCAAAAAACTAAAATCAACCCCATGTTATTTGAAATGGAAAACCCACAAAGAAAAGTCCCTCTGAAGATCCTCCTGAAAAATAGTATTATTAGTATGAGAGTAATAGTGTTTTAGAAAGGACTCATGGGAGGTTATTTGTGGATAATGCCTTACTAGCGGAGGCATGAAATACTTGGTATCAACTATCATTATCAATGACTCAGGATCAAACAGTTCAACGAAAAAGTGTTTAAACATGTAGTTGTAGACATAAACACAGCAAATGAGGAAGAAAGTTTTTAATCAATATATTTAGATAATATTTTGAAAGTCGTTTTATTGGGAGGGGCTGTGGCTGAGGTTGTAATTTGGTTGATTTTTTATTTTTTAATGATTAATTTATTTTCATTTTACATGTTTCTGGGAGTGCCTACATGTATGTGTGTATAGTTTGCACACGGGGTGCCCAAGGAAGCCAAAACAGAGCACCAGATCATTTGGAATTGGAGTTGTAGGCAATTGCAAGCCTCACTGTGGGTGTTGGAAACCACTGCACCATTGGGAGTGAAACCTGGGTCCTCTGTGGGAGCAGCAAGTGCTCTTAACCACTGCACCCTCTCTCCACCCCTCTATGTTTTGAGATGCTCTCGTGTAGCCTAGGCTGGCCTCAAACTCAGTATGTAGCTGAGGATAGCTTTGAACTTCTGATCTTCCTGCTGTCACCTCCCAAGCCCTGGCATTATAGATATGTGCCCTGTGACAGTCAGGGTTCCCTAGAGAAACAGCAGCGTTCATTCTGTATGTGTGGGATTTGTGAGAGTGGTTTACAGGCTGTGGTCCCGCGAGGGCAACACTGCCTGTCCCCAACACAAAGTCCAGGAATGCAGGGGTTGTTCACTCTTCCCCCACGAGGCTGGACGTCTCGGCTGGTCTTAGGAACACGCCGGAATCTAAAGAAGCAGGCTGTCATGTCAGTGAAGGAACAGCCTGCCAGCAGAGAGAGGGAAGCAGACAGAAGGCAAGAGCTGCCTTCTTGCCCGTCCTCTGTACAGGCTGCCACAGAAGGGATGGCCCAGATTTAAGGGGGACCTTACCACTCAAAAGACAAGGATTTAAGGTGATCTTCCCACTTAGAGTGGCTTAAGAAAACTCTCTCACGGGTATAGCCAGCTGCTTGGGTTTAGTCCCAGATGAAGTCTCACTGGCAACCAAGAGGAGTCATCACGCCCATGGGAAGCTGGGTGGAGGCTGGGGTGAGTGCTCACATGGTGTCCCAGCCGCTTCTCCATCCTCCTATTGAGTCAGGGCCTCTCATGTGCCTGGAGCTAGACAAGGAAACCAGGCCGAGTGATCTGCGTCTCCCTCCTCCCCAGTGCTGCAGTGAGAGGCACCGGCTACTCTGTCACACTTTGATGACAGTGACTATGAAGACACAGAAGTAAATGCTTGCTGGGCCTCACTGGAGTACTGCCTTCACTGGTGTCAAAGTATCACTGCATCAGCAGTTAAGAGCACTGACTGCTCTTCCAGAGGAAACTGGGTTCAAGTGCCAGCAGCCCCCTGTAGCTCCAGCCCCAGAGTATCTGACACTCTCTTGTGGTCTCTGTGGGTACCTGCACACATGTGCACACACACACACACACACAACCAACAATAAAATACATTTAAAATGAGAAAGAGGGTAACTGCCCCAGTAAGAGGGAGGAGATGAGAACGACTCAGTGACTCATGAACTAGAAGCCCCCGTGACAGCTTTTGCTATGACCGTGACTTCGTTCCCAGGACTTGGCTGTGGTCTTGGCGCTCTGAAGGAAGTGTGTCAACCCAGTGTCAGGCATGAGGTGACTCTCCGACCACGCTGTGTCTGGCAGTGCTGGAGCCCTGACTTGTCACTCACCTGGGCTGGGGCTGTCTGTTTCTTCCTTCACCACCATCCAGGGCTCTCTCTTCTGCTCTAATAAGGTGATCAGGTGGGGTTTGGAGATGGAACTTCCCACTTAAAAGAAAGAAAAAAGGACACATGTGGTAACCTTTTTGGTTTCTTTGAAACTGGGTATCTCTAATTATACCAGTATATCCTAGAACTTGATATGTAGACCAGGCTGGCCTTGAATTAACCTTGATCTGCCTGCCTCTGCCTCCCACATGCTGGGACTAAGGGTGTGTGCCACCATGAGCTGCTAGTGCAGATCTCCAAAATATAGAATTATAAAGGTCCACACAGGTTGGCATGGTGAATCAAGCCTGTAAGCCAAACAGCTGAGGGAATGAGCCGGACCAACTTGTGCTATATATACAGCAGGACTCTTGTCTCGGAAAAAAGGGGAGGGGGCCAGCCTCACTTAAGAGGAAAGTAAGTAGCTGGGTGAGAACATGAACCCTTAGGCTTCACTCTAGTGTAAACCCCATCTCTGCAGCTCACTAATAAGGCCATTTATCTAGGCAAGTCCCATTGGATTCTATGTGCAATGTTCCATCTACAACCTTGGCATGGTGGCACACACATGTAGTCACAACACTTGGGAGGTGGAGGCCGGGAGACGAGAAGTTCATGGCTGACGTTGGTTTCAGGCAAGTCTAAAGTCAGCCTGAGCTACATGAGACCTGGCCTCAAAAAAAGCAATTAATAATAGGAAATAATTCAGGTTGAGTTGATGATATCTATTGGGTAGGGCTGATACTTAGAAGAAATAGCATATTCAAACACTTTGAATATTTTCTGACCTATGGTAACACAAAATTATTCTTTCTTTAACTTCCATTTACTACTTAGTAATGCTGGGGATGGACGAGGTCCTTGAGCATGCTGGGCAAGTGCTCTTCCTCTGAGTCACATCACCAGCCATGAACATTGTGTGCTGTCACTAATGCTGCCTCCTTTCATACTCACACCTCGTTCTGACAGTGAAACGACAAACTCAACCCGAAACACCTACAACAAAGCACGTCATAAGGAAAGGGTTCACGGAGGGAGCAGAACGGGTCCACTTCTGTCCTGAGTCTATTCTAGTGATCCATTACTAAGTAAATCATAAATGCTCTTTCATTTAGTGGTGTATGCATGCACATGCAGTGTATGTATCTTTTTTTTTAATGGTATTTTTTGTTATACATATTTGGTCACATCTTTTTTAAGATTCATTTATTTATTATGTATCAATATTCTGTCTGCATGTATGCTTCCAGGCCAGAAGAGGACACCAGATCTCATTACAGATGGTTGTGAGCCACCATGTGGTTGCTAGGAATTGAACTCAGGACCTCTGGAAGAACAGCCAGTGCTAACCTCTGAGCCATCTCTCCAGCCCCCAGTATGTATATCTTTTATGAGGGTGCATGCTTAAGAGTGTGTAGGCATACATGCGTGCATGCGTGCGTGCGAGTGTGTGTGTGTGTGTGTGTGTGTGAGAACAGGACAGAGAGCAGTGTGAAGTGTCATCTTTGATTGCTCCCACTCTGGTTTTTGAGACAGGGTCTCTCTCTGAACCCAGAGCTCACCCAAAGGCTCTGAACAAACAGCAGGTGCTTCATGAAGTCCCTGTTTTCACCCAAGGAAACCCCACAGCACTCCCTTGGGAGGAAGGAGGAGCTCAGCAACGTCTTTAAATTCTACCCAACTTATGTTTATTTCATTTTATGCCCATGTGTCTGTCTACATGTACATCTGAGAACCATATTGTTTTGGAGGCTGTCCTGGAACTCACTCTGTAGACCAGGCTGGTCTTGAACTCACAGGGATCCACCTGCCTCTGCCTCCCGAGTGCTGGGATAAAAGGCGTGCTCCACCAATACCAGGCTAGGAGCCAATTCTCTTAAACACCAAATTATCTCTGTAGCCCTTAATTCTATCTATTGATTTGTTTCCTTATTTATTTCATTTATTTTGTTTTATGTGAAACTGGGCCTCACTCTGTAGATAAGGCTATGTGGGAACTCACTATGTATCTGAGGGTGACTTTGAACTCACAGCAGTCATCCTGACTCAGCCTTCTGAGAGAAGGAATAATAGGAATGGGCCACCAAGCCCAGCTTCAGCTACCACAGGAAAGACGGCCCTGTCTGTTCATTCAGAATAAGGAAAGCCAACAGTGTAGAGGACACATCCCTCACTCATGGGGACAGATGGCCTTACCCACTGTGACCAGGTTGCTGTAGGTCTCCAACATCATGTCCCTGTAGAAGACCCTCTGAGTAGCATCCAGGCAGGCCCACTCCTCCTGAGAGAAGTCAACAGCCACATCCCCAAATGTCACTGAGCCCTGAAACCACAAACACAGCAGAGTGAAATTGTGGAAGCCTTCTTCAAGATGGAAACAGAAGGGAAAGGACTCCAGAGTGGGAAAGGAGCCATGGAAACGCTCAAGGCGCCTGACTGCGTTCAAGATGATGATGTGTCTCAGGTCTCCCTGAACTCTGGAGACTGCTGTCCCCTCCAATCGCAGCCTGGATGACCTGTCCCTCTCACCACTGAACTCTCTCTTAAAGACCCTCAAGCAGGTCATCTCCTCACACACATGCACCCAGGACATTCACTCTCAAACCCGTGTCATCAGCCTGAACACACCAAAGATGTCAATCAGGATTCCCAGTGCAGTCAAAGACACCATCACTTCAACGTTATGAACCCCAAAGACCCTGCTTCCCTGTGGGACTCTGGCCCCCACTGCAAGGACACTGCTCCCTGACCACAGACCAAGCAGACAGCAGATGGTCAGGGATGCACTCAGAAAACTCCAGAAGCAGCGGGAGAGAGACAGACAGGAAGTGCTCTGACCTTCCAACCCTCACTGAGAGGAACAGGGCAGCTTGGGCTGGAGGATTGTGGGTCCTGGGGAAGCTTCACGAGAGAAAGACAGCAGAGTCACCTAACCTCAAAGTCACCCTATGTAAAGAGAGAACGTAACTTACACAGACCATGTCTTGAGAACCAGAGCTGGCCATTCTTCTTCAGGGTCCTCCCCTGGGGGACAAAAAGACAGTCTTCATTGGGTTGTCACTTGATGTTCCCAGACTGACTCGGGTCAGCATGGCTCACTGACCACTTTTATTTCCAGGCATCCGCACTCACACACTCCTGTCCACCGCTCATAGCCACCCACTCACAAACAGAAGCAGACAGGAGTCCACACAAGCGACTCGGTCCCAACCCAGACAAGCCACTAACAAGTGCTCACTTTCCCACTCTGACCAAAGGACTCGTGACGTGTGATCCCATCAATATAGTAATCAATTTAGCAAATCACAACTTGGGAGCCCTAAGGGTAACCTCTGGAGGTCCCTACCTCTAACACCTTGGGGAAACGGACTGATTGTAGAGAGAAGGCGTCAGGATCTCTGAAACGATTCTATGAATATTGAGTGGAAAGGGGGAGACAATGCAAACACAAGGATGGAGACATCGATTTACGCATTCCGTCTTCACGTACCGACAACGCTATTCTAACACTACGACCTCGTTTCTCAAACACAAAGAAGGAACCGGCTCACTCTTGAATCTTGGGTGTACAGCAATGATGCTCGCACTCCGCTCCAAGCCCTCCCTCCTTTTGAACAATGGCGGACTCGGGGAGCCTGAGCGAGCTCTCGTGAGACCCCAGACCACACACCACAGCCCACTCCCTTCCCTTCCCGCGACACTCACGGTGCCCACAGCTCTGAGAAAGTTACGGACGCAACAAGTAGCCGCCCTCCTGGGCGACCCTGGGGGCGCTGGCGGCCTCCAGTGCTCGGCCCGAGCTCAAGTGTGGAGCTCAGGGAAAGCTTCCCCCAGACTCCGTCCCTGAGCTCTCGCTCCTGAAGCCTGGTCCCCTGCTTCAGCCCCGTGACGGCGAGGAAGCGGGAGCGGAGAGCGACGAGCGCGGGGACACCGGCACCAGAGAGCTCGAGATGTGCACGAGAGCGCGCGCATACCACCCTCAAGCACACCAACATACAGTCACACACACGCGCGCACACTCGCAGTCACACCCGCGCGCACACCACGGTCCCCACACACTCACCCACACCACCGTCCACACCACACCCAGCCCGCCGGCTCCCGCCTAGCTCAGAGAAGAATTATGCCAACTTCTTCCTCCAACTAGAAGGCTCTGACCTTCCGCCGCAGCGGCTCCAGACACCGGAAGTGATTGGTTACTTCCGGCGCCGTGGCCTCTGGGAAATGCAGTCCAAGCTTGCAGAATCCCGAGGAAGACAAGTGCTTTAGAGAAATCCCAACATACAACCTAGATCAGGAGCTATGCCCAGTGACTTGAGATAATTCCCAAAGGGATGCGCTCTTATAGCGGAGGCTCCTTGGTGTGCTCCAAAGGTACTTACGGGTTCGTCATGGAATTTATTTTCTCTCCTATGGAGTGTACAGACGAGCCTGACGGTTTGGTTTGTTTTTGTTTGTTTTTGTTTTTCGGGACAGAGTTTCTCTGTGTAGCTCTGGCTGTCCTGGAACTCACTCTGTAGACCAGGCTGGCCTCGAACTCACAGAGATCCTCCTGCCTCTGCCTCCCGAGTGCTGGAATTAAGGGGGTGAGGCACCACCGCGGCTGAGCTTTAGTTTAGGTGCAGAATTGGAATACAATCAGATCGCGACTCAACTGCTTTGATTACACTTTGCCTGAGAACCCCGGCGGTAGGATTTCTCCTGGCTGTGTGATGGTAGGGACTGTGATGACTTTGAAAAGTCCGAACTAGACAATTGGTTGATTTTAAACGTGAAACGAAGGGCTGGTTACATGAGAGATTTCAGAGATGTGCTGACACTTCTAGGGCTCTCTGTCCCTGTTTTCTAGAGAGGAAAATGTGACCGGGGGCCACGTGGATTTGTATCGATGGTACATTAGACAGCCTTTTACCCCACGTTAAAGGATGAATGACGACCACGTAAATGTATCCTAAACAAAAAAGTAAGTTTAGCTTTTGTCGGAAAAACCACTTTTCTTGTAACATGACACTACTGAACTTTCAAAACCACTTTTGTTGTTTCTTATATTCACGTAACGCTTCTTTGTCATCCCAGAGCTGGGTGGAAAACAAATGTCAAGAGGATAGACGATCCTAGTAAAACCGCCAATCACATTAAATGTATTGTGAATAATGGAAACACCTGAAACATAGATCATCAGATTAGGTTTGAAAACATGCACACCCAACCATGTGTTACATATGTTAAAGTCAGTACTCTAACAGATTAAAGTGACCATCCTCACAACACTCAAAAAATGACCTAAGTCGGGCTGGAGAGATGGCTCAGAGGTTAAGAGCACTGACTGCTCTTCCAGAGGTCATGAGTTCAATTCCCAGCAACCACATGGTGGCTCACAACCATCTGTAATGAGATCTAGTGCCCTCTTCTGATGTGTACATGGAGGCAGGGTGTTGTATTCATAACAAATAAATTAAAAAAATGACCTAAGTCAATTTTAAAATCGAGGCAGACGGGGGACAAAGAACATTGCCAGTAAAAATAAAGAGGGAAGTTCATCCGCTGGAGGTAGCTTGGCGGGGCATACTAGCACATGCCTTTCGTTCCCAGCAATGGGGAGGCACAGCCAGGTGGGTGTCTGTGAGATGGAGGCCATCTAGGACTATATGGGTTCAAGCAGAGGCAAAAGGCTGAGATGCCTGTTTAAAATACTGGAGTGGATGCTGGCCTCTAGGTTCTCCCAGCATCCCTCAGTCCCTGCCTGGTACAGGGTATGGTTGGTATACCCTGCCCCCTGCCCTAACCTTCTCCAGCCCAGGGCCGGGGCTGCTCTTTCCTCTATAATCTAACCATATTGGTTGCTTCCTGCTACACCTGGCTCCCCTCTCTTTCCTCTCCCTTCTCCTCCCCTTCTCCCCCATGGCTCAGGATCATGACCACGCTGGACTCTCCGGATGTCCCTGTCTCTGACACTGGCTATGCTCTCCCACATACCTACAATAAACCTTCGCCTCCACCATACCTAGAACAAGTCATATTTCTCCCCTTTTTTCCATTCAAAATCCTATTTAAACTAAAATAAACTCAGAGTATACTCTGAATAGCACAGCTTCAAAATATGAAGGGGAAATAGATATATACGGCTATAGTGCAGTGCAATGTTTTACTCTTTTTACCTTTGACCTTTTTGAGGGATCCATCACCAGCTCCCAGATAAATCACACAGGAAGCCTTATTCTTAGTTGTGAATACCCAGCCTTCACTTGACTTGTCTCTTGCCAGCTTTTCTTTAGGTAAATTAACCCTGTAGGCTTCTATCTTTTTTCTGTATACCTTACTATTCTTCTTACTCCTTGGCTGGCTGGGTGGCTGGCCCCTGATAGCCTCCCCTCCTTGTTCTATCCTGCTCCTTTTTCCAGATTTCTTCTTCTATTTATACTCCCTGCCTGGTAGCCCCACCTATCCTTGCTCCTGCCTCGCTATTGGCCATTCAGCTCTTTATTAGACCATCTGGTGCTTTAGACAGACAAAGAATCATAGCTTCACAGAATGTCAGCCCGAATATAATATTTCGGAAATAGGCCTCCGCTCAATTCCAGGACTCAGATCTCCTATTGTCTTTTAGATGCCGGCTGGTTACCTAGTCAGCCCTTTATACATGATAATAGATGTCTTCTGCCAGTACCCCCACTTTTGGAGAGTTATTTAAGATGATGCTGGGATAAACCGTGGTCTCCGGTATTGACTGAGGGTCTTCCTGAGATGACCAGATGTCTCTGTCTTGTCTTTTTCATGTCATTGGGTACTAGGACTTCCCTCATCCACACTCCCTCACTCAGGGTTGGACCCAGGGCTGTTCGGCTGGTTCTGATCACGGCCTGAAAGACATCAGTCCAGAATAGATGGTCCCTGCAGCAAGGAACTGGCACAGGCCAGACCCCGGCAACAGAGGTAAACAGCATAAGCAAAAGTCACACACTGTAGCAATAAGGAATGACAGCCATATCCATGACCACATTCAAATGTTTTCAGTTTCAACAACGGACAGAACAGAACCAGAAAAGCCACAGAACATAGTCAGTTTGAACAGCAAATCAACTGTGAACGCTGGGAGAGTCAAAATGGAGACAGTTAAACTATAATGGAACCAGGGGGCCTTGAAGGAGCTCCCCCTCTTCTGTAGTGTGGTGTTTTGCTCTTTACTCTCTAGTCTTTCTGACTCTTTGGGGGGCCTACCACCAAGCTTCCAAACAAATCACATGCACAGGTTTATTATTAGTTATGAATGCCTGGCCTTAGATTGGCTTGCTTCTTGTGAACTTTCCTTCACTTAAATTAACCCCTCTCTCTTTGGCCTTGGGGCTTTTATCTTCCTCTACTTCTGTGTATCTTTTCTTTCCTTCCTCCTCTGTCTGGCTGTATAGCTGCGTGGCTGGCCCCTGAAGTCCTCCTTCCTCGCTCATTCCCTGGTCCTCAATCCTGTTTGCCCAGATTTCTCCTCATATGTACCCTCTTACTGCCAATCCCATCCATTCCTCTCTCCTACCGAGATATGGGCTGTTCAGCTCTTTACTAGAGCATCAGGTGTTTTAGACAGGCAGTAACACAGAGTTAAACAAATGCAGCATAAACAAAAGTCACACACCTTACCATACTATTCCCCAACACTCTTTATCTGTCTCTGTCTCTCTCTGTGTGTCTCTGTCTGTCTCCTCTCCCTCCCTCTCTCCTTCCCTTCCCTCCTACCCTCTCTCCTTCCCTCCCTCACTCCCTTTCTTTCAACAAGGTTTCTCTGTGTAACAGCTCTGGCTGTCCAGGAACTCACTTTGCAGACCAGTCTGGCCTTGAACACCTGCCTCTGCCTTTGGAGTGCTGGGATTAAAGGTGTGTGCCACCTACGGCAGGAATGACCATTACCTGGAGACAATTCTATTGAAAGCTTCCTTTGCGTGTGCTTTGTTGGAGAAAAATAATACTTTACATATTTCTACTGTAATTTTAAAAAGTAAAGACCATGTCTGTTTTTAAGATTCTCCATGGGCTGATTACTAGAGTAGAGAGTGCAGATAGGGGGTCCTTTGGGACCCAGCTGACTATTCCTGCAAAACTTTGCTTTGTTCTTTCACTGGATTTTTGAGTCATTTACAAACATTCTTAGGTTCCTGTCGTGCCAGGGTGTACCACTCTTTCTCTCTCTCTGCAGGGTCATGTTGGTTGGTCTCGTCCGTCTTTCCTGTGTTTGCAGCTCTTTTCTTAACTGCTATCTCATATTCCTCATGGAAAAATTAGATAATTGCTGTGTGTTGTGTAGGGGAGCTAAATGCATAAGTAGGTAGATGAGTGCGCACCACAAACATTCCATTAACTACAAGGATCCTGAATTCCTGTTGTGGTTTTGCCTACCAGATCCCCTGTCTCAGCTCTCTGTGCCTTTGTTTCCTGTTCTGTGTGTGTGTATCCTCAGTTCTCCTCACTCAAAGATGCATCTGGACCCCTTTTCAGATATTCTTCTCTCCTGCTCTACAGGTGGTTCTAGTCATGTGTTGAGAAATCCCTCCATTTCCTTCCACCCTGTGCTCTTATTTGTTTATTTTGCTTTTGGTTCCCAGGCTAGCCTGAAACTCATAACATATAACCCAGGCTTTCCTTAACTTTCTGGCTATTCTCCTGCCTCAACCTCTCGTAGCCACCACACCTAGCTTGAAACCTTAAAAGAGAGGAGTCGTTTGAATTGTAGGCATCCAGAACTTTTCTTCTAGACATTAGACCCTTCAGGGCTCTGTTGCGGCTGCTGCTGGAACAAAAGCAGAGTCAGGTGCATTATTTCAAGTCCCTCGAATTTTAAGTGTCAATGTCCTGTGCCCTAACCCCTGTAGGGAGTTCAGGAAATCTTTCCTTCCAGTCACTTCTGGCAGCATCCCTGGAAGGTTCTGGAAACTCGGTTAACTTGGACAATTAGTATTCTGAGAAGAAGTTGCCAGGAGATTTTTCTTAAGGACTTTGTCACTAGAGGGCAGAAATAGTACAGTGATCACAGGTCCAGAGAAGGACAATGTTAGGGAAGCGATACCTACA